GGCTGCCTACCTGGTATATTGCAGCTGGTATTGGTTTTTGCCTGGATGGTGGTCTTTTATAGCATGTGATTGTAGCTTGACAATATGACCACAAGTTTTGTCTCTCTTTAGATAATGTAGGGAGAGAAAAAAGCCCCCCTACAGGTAAAGAGGGAACCAAAAAACAAAACAGCAATAGAAAAGAGGGCAGATTGGATACTGTAGTATATAATCACAGAAAAGAGAGAAGAGAAAAAGAAAATTCTGTAGCCAAATGTGAGTATGACTTTAATGTCACTCTCTCAGCTTCTTGCCTTCAAGGCTGTCAGAGAAATTTCAAGATGCCACTGTTGGTCATTATGGCATAATTTAGGATTTAATTTTTGCCCTTTTCCTTTTAAGTCTGTCTCTATCGCACTCCACAACTCCCATTCGGACCATTTTCCTAGTGATAAGCAGTTCAGGGCTACCTGTGGCCATTTTGTGCTTCCATTTCGTGTTGAAACTTTATCTTTAAATTTTTAGCAGATTGTGTGCATGAATAAGAGAACCCTTCATGGGTGGGTGGAGGGCTGTTCACATGCTCAGGCACCCCCTGTAGTCACCAGAATGAAGGTGTGCAGACAATGAGATAAACAGATACAAAAAGAATGTCCACACCTTTATCTCTGAGGATTGGTCAGATATCAAGGCATCTGTGGTGGGTCTGTTCCTTCCCCTGCCCCGTCTTGCCCAAGATGGCTGTTCCGGGAGCCACTGAGTCCAGTGGATCCGAAAGCCCTAGATGGCTTGCTTCTGCTATATATTCTACTGGCTGTGAGCCTTAAAACTTTCTTAATATTCCTTTATATGTACTTCAGTGTTCTGGGACCATCCCCTGAACCTCCTTTGTCTGGTATTCTGTCTTATTGCTGATGGAGTTCCTCACTACACTTCTTCCAGATCTGCCATCAATCCCTGCCCTGGAACTGGGTTTTAGCAAGGTATTCAAAGTAGAAAATTCATTTGACTTCATAGAGAATATTTCACTGGAAGGGAAACTAACTTCTTTGAGAAGAAAGTACACAAATATCAGAGGATGGGAGTGATGTCAAGTCCAACAGAGAATTCTTTTACTTTGAATGCTGACTTATAAATGAACTCTGAAGATGTACTCTTATCTTGCTAAAATTTTTTTCTCACTGTTTTTACCTTCTCATTCCACCTTCTCCCTGAAAAAACAAAACAAAACAAAAAACCACTCATAACTTTAAATCTTTCAACTAGCCAGATGATATGGATTGACTCCCAAATGGGAGAAACCTCCTTTAATGGCATCTCAGAAACTGCAGCTACCTCAAAACCAGCCCGGCTTATTAACAATGTTAGTGGTGTCACCTAAAATAAAAGGGTTTTAAGACAAACGCTACTTGGATTTTTATAAATAATTCTTGTTTAGTCTTTGCAAGAGAGTAGTTGTAGAGGATTTTCCTATAGCTGTACCAGCAGCAATCTTGGCTTTATGGAGTATGGAGACCCTTGAGCTAGTTTTATCAAGCAGGATTAATCAGTCAGTGTAAAGATGTCAAACTCACTGCATTGAAGTTTACTTATTAGTTTGTATATAAAACTGGAAATTTGCATGCAAAGTCACAGGTAAAAGCCTGATTTAGCCTCACTTTGTTAGTTTGTATGCTAAATACATATAAAGTATCTATTACTTAATGAGCATCAATTAAAAATTCACTAAGTGACTAAAAGAAGTTAAACCTGTATGGACTAGGCATGTTATTTTTAAACTTCTTCTTCTTTAATGGATTAAGGTATTTTTAAGTCAATTTTATAGCCAATCCTGTTCATGCCATGGTTTTAGCCAGTTCATACCACATGGAAGAAGCTAAGATTTTTATTTTTATAACCTAACTGTACATACTGAGGTATAGCAGTTCCTGGAAAAGGAGATCAAAGAAGACGTTAGTTTGTTAAAGGCTATTCTCTCAAAGAACAAGTGTGAGTGTGGTCTGATAGATATGAGAAATAATAACATCTTATTTGTCACATTGTACTTCACCAAACTAATAGTTGATATGATATGGTTTTCAAAGAGTCTTCTAGGTGTTGTCTAAAATAAGATTGTAAAGTGATTTTCAAATCAATCTAGAACAAATTCTTCTCCCTATTAAGTGATAAGGCAGTACTAAATGAACTCCTAGTGTTTATTCTGATTTAGTTTGTGTGTAAGTAGGCACTGTTGAGAGTTATTCCATTTATATTTACTCCGTGTCTTGTGAAATTAGCAACTTTTTTTTCTTTTTTCTATGAGTCTCTTTAGATTATACCTGTAGTTCAAACTTGGAAATGTATGTTGTTGTTGTTAACTGCCATCAATCAAGTAGGTTCTGACCCATGTGATCCTGGGTAGGGTTTCAGTATAATCTTGATGTTCATAATTGATAGATATTGCTCAGGGCATGGAAAATAATAGCATCGATAAGCATTTTTGTCAACTAACCTTGTTGAGCATTGGCTTAGACCACTTGTATATTGCATTATTAATTTTTCTTTAACATTTATTGTATCTATTGATAACATTCAAAAATTCTTTTAATATGGGATCCTTTTCTATCTTTTAAATTATTGTGACCCAAAGTCATTTACTTTTCATTAACTCTGGAGAACGGCTTTTCTGGCATATAGTATCACAGTCCTAGATATAGCTGAGATGGACTTGTAAAGCCCAGGAGTTGGTAGCATTTAAAATTTATAGAAAACCTTGAGTCACTTGTGTTTTTACCATCTGTTAAATAATGAGGTAGGAACAAATGATGGCTAAAAGTCTTCCCTGCTAATGTTTTGCTTTTTGTTCTTCATCAGATTGACCTGTGTAGACTTCTACATGGAGATAGACTGGTTCCTTTGTTTATAAATGCCATGTCTTGACTCAAAATCCCACCTACCTTCAAAAAATCTTGAAATTTTTCAATACCTTGTCTATTCCCAAATTATTCTCTTTTTTCCTATTGACTTTTAAACTTTGTGATAGTGTACAATAGGCAACAATTTCAGTAATAACACAACCTTCTTGTTTTCTGACATGAAAAATGTATTCCCTTTTGTATCCCATGGTATATTCAGTTGCCGAATAAAATAGGTTTACAATCTATAAAAATAACTTTTAAGTATCCATCTTTGGGAATTATAATGGTATACAGATTCACTGGGACTAGGCCTTATAGCAAATTATATTCCTAAACATCTTCTATTGGAAGAAGTCTTAAACATAATTAATTAAATTCCTCCTCCAATGCCTTGTCCTGTGGGATAAATATGAGACTTCCTGCTCCCATAAAGATTTACAGCCTTGGAAAACCCAAGCAGGGTCGCTATGCATCGCAACTGACTCCACGAGCACATAACCACCACCACCATCAATGCCTTGCTCCTGGAATTTTTTTAAAAATAAGAAAATTGGAACTCAGTACTTCGTTAGAATTGAGCGTTCATGGACTAGGTTGTAAGCAATTAACAAACTAATTATGGTTAACTTGTTTAGTTTTTGTAATAATCCTTTTTAAATAGTGCCTATTATTCTCTCCAGAGTAAAAATGGAAACTGAGTCTCAGAAATTTTAAGCGCATGCTCAAGATTAAACACACAACTTGTGGCAAAGGTGAGATATAAATTAAGGGACTGTATCTCCAAAGAATTATGAGCTTAACCACTATACTAAAAACCCAAGATTACATCTGTATTCTTTATAAATCTTGATGCTCTGTGATGTGTAAATACCCTGAGATTGCATGCTAAACTTCTGAATCAATAAACATATCATTACATTTATACATATAGACAACTGGACCAACAGCTTCTGGAATATGTATTTTAGTAGATTTTATCTCCTAAAAAGAACTAGGTAACAAAGCAATTCCTCTTTTATTTCTATTAGCAAAATATGAATGCATGCTAAACTTTTAAAACAGATTTTGCACTAATTCTGTTCCAACCAATTTACTACAGAGACATGGTAGGTTTGTCCTTAGATGAGTAATTTCCTCCATTGAAGTATTCTTTATATACCAAAAAAAAAATAATAATAATCGAGAGAAGTCCGTGTGCTGGGAAAGAGGTGAAGTGCTCAGTGTTCAACCGCCCTTGCAGACCACGTGATAAAACGCGGTGCACGGCGTTTACTCTGGCAGTTGCTGAGATCATTTCCTCCAGAAGACTGAGGATCAGTGCCAGACAAGTACTGCGCATACTCGACAGTCTCTGTTCTAGAGGCAAAACCTCCTGCTGGTTGAGCTCGCTCTTGCCAGTTACATACCTCCTATTCTCAAGGGGGCAGCTCGAGGTGCGTGGGGTCACCGAACGGTTACTCTGAGGTTACTTTACTTGATGGCTTTTGTGCTGCGGTGAACAACTTGATTGTAGCCATGGCCGATGACACCATGCCCGATGAGAAGGCCGTGCAGGTGCTCCGAGACATGGCCAACCGTCTCCGGATCCATTCCATCAGGGCCACATGTGCTTCCAACTCTGGCCATCCCACATCATGCTGCAGTGCAGCAGAAATCATGTCTGTGTTGTTCTTCCATACAATGAGGTATAAACAGACAGACCCGGGACACCCAGACAACGACCGATTTGTCCTCTCGAAGGGCCATGCTGCTCCAATCCTTTACGCCGCTTGGGCAGAGGCTGGTGACATCAGAGAATCCGACCTGCTGCGTTTGAGGAAAATTGACTGTGACCTGGAGGGACATCCCACTCCCAGACTGTCGTTTGTTGATGTGGCAACAGGATCTCTTGGACAAGGACTGGGTGCCGCATGTGGAATGGCTTATACCGGCAAATACTTTGACAAGGCCAGTTACCGGGTATTCTGCCTCATGGGAGATGGCGAATCCTCAGAAGGCTCAGTCTGGGAGGCTATGTCCTTCGCGTCCTACTATAATCTGGATAATCTCATAGCAATCTTTGATGTGAACCGCTTGGGACAAAGTGGCGTTGCACCACTTGAGCACTGCACTGATGTCTATCAGAAGCGCTGTGAAGCTTTTGGGTGGAATACTTATTTAGTAGATGGTCATGATGTGGTGGAGTTGTGCCAGGCATTTTGGCTAGCAACTCAAGTGAAGAACAAGCCCAGTGCTATAATTGCCAAGACCTTCAAGGGCCAAGGTATTCCAAACGTTGAGAATGAAGAAAATTGGCATGGGAAGCCTATACCAAAAGAAAAAGCAGATGCAATTATCAAATTAATTGAGAGCCGCATACAAACCAACAGGAATCTCATACCAAAACCCCCTGTTGAAGACTCACCTGAAATCTGCATCACTGATATAAAAATGACCACCTCACCTGCTTACAAAGTTGGTGACAAGGTAGCTACCCGGAAGGCATATGGGTTGGCTCTGGCTAAATTGGGCCATGCTAATGGAAGAGTTATTGTCCTGGATGGTGACACAAAGAACTCCACATTTTCAGAGTTATTCAAGAAAGAACACCCTGAGAGATTTATTGAATGTTTTATTGCTGAGCAAAACATGGTAAATGTGGCTTTGGGCTGTGCTGCCCGTGGTCGAACCATTGCTTTTGTTAGTACCTTTGCTGCCTTTCTGACCCGAGCATTTGATCAGATCCGGATGGGAGCCATCTCTCAGACCAACATCAACCTTGCTGGTTCCCACTGTGGAGTATCCATTGGTGAAGATGGGCCCTCTCAGATGGCGCTGGAGGATCTAGCTATGTTCCGGAGCATTCCCAATTGCACTGTTTTCTATCCAAGCGATGCTGTCTCAGCAGAGCACGCTGTTTATCTGGCTGCTAATACCAAAGGAATGTGCTTCATTCGGACCAGCCGACCAGAAACTGCAGTTATTTATTCCCCACAAGAAAACTTTGAAATCGGACAGGCCAAGGTTGTCCGCCACAGTAACAATGACAAAGTCACAGTTATTGGTGCTGGGGTTACTCTACATGAAGCATTAGCAGCTGCTGATCATCTTTCTAAACAAGGTATTTCTATCCGTGTCATTGACCCATTTACCATCAAACCCCTGGATGCTGCCACCATCATTTCCAATGCAAAAGCTACAGGCAACTGGGTTATCACAGTGGAGGATCATTATCAAGAAGGTGGCATCGGGGAAGCTGTGTGTGCAGCTGTCTCTGAGGAGCCTGACATCCTTGTTCATCAGCTGGCAGTGCCAAGAGTGCCTCGAAGTGGCAGACCTAGTGAATTGTTGGACATGTTTGGAATCAGTGCCAAACACATCATAGCAGCTGTGAAACACACTCTAATGAACAAAACTAACTGATTTCTTTAAAATTCAATCTGTTGGCATTGGTCTTAAAACACTTGTTACAAAACCATCATTTTTATTTATATGAGTATTATTGTGCTTTTGTTATTGCCTTTAAAACAATCATTAAAGTGGGCTACAAAATTTTAAGTAACAGAATCGCAAACAACTACCTACTACAAAATTTTCTAGTCAGACTACAGATAAGTGGGTTGAGAACAGCATAGAGGTAGTAATTTCTTAAATGTGTGACATGTATTTGTAAGTTAAAAAAAAAAAAAAAAGTGAATTTAATTGTAGACTTCAACAGCCCAGATTTTGAAGCCCTACCACTACTATATATATGGTTCCCAATTTGAGCTTTTCTCTAGTGTTATCCTACATACAGCTTTCCAGATAATATTTGACTGTAGCTGCCTTGGAATTCTTTCGATGTTTGCCTTTATCTTCCCTCTACAATTCTGAGATTGTGAAGCAGCAGTGAAAGGTCTTATAAAGTACTGTGTTGCTTACAGTGATTGCTCTGTAAAGAGATAAAAGCATAACCATCTCTAGTCTGCACACTATATTGTTTTGTTAGGTTTCAAAAGTGTTTCATATTCTCAGCGATCAAACCAGACTGCTAACTTGATTTATTCATCTACTATGAAAACTGGTTAAAGTCATTGCTAATAAAGTATCTAAACACTGGCCACTTTACTCAACTGTGCCCTGTATATCTGATTTGGTTTTTCCGTGATAAAACCGTAAGGAAGACACTTCCATTTAAACCTTAAGTATTTAGCCTGCAAAAAGGTCCAGGCTAGAGATGAATGAATCCTGGTGACGTGATGGTTAAAAGAATTGGCTGTTAATCCAAAGATTGCCTGTCCAAACCCACCAGTTGCTCCATGGTAGAAGATCCGGTGATATGTTCCAGTAAAGATTGTTGTTGTTGTTATGTGCCGTGGAGTAGGTTCCCACTCATAGTAACCCTATATAGGGTTTCCGAGGCTATAAATCTTTACAGGAGCAGAAAGCCTCCTCTTTCTTCCATGGAACAGCTGGTAGTTTCGAACTGCTGAACTTGCGATTCGCAGCCTGATTTGTAACCACTATGCTACCAGAGCTCCTTCCACGCTACCAGAGCTCCTTCCAGTAAAGATTACAGCATAGGAAACCATATAAAGTAGTTCTCTTCTGTCCTATATGGTCTCTTGTTTTTATTAAGTACCGCTGAGACAGGTCCGACTCACACTGAATCACTGGCCTTGCAGTTTGAACCAACCTTGCGGTCCATTGCTTATCCTAAGGCATCATACCAGGAACTCATATGGTCCATATAAATGAACCCTTGAAATTATTGCTTCGATATAATCTTTAAACTAAAAATATCTCCTACAGTCATCTTAAAACCAATCAGTAGTTTAGCTTAACCAGTAACAAATGAGCATTATGTGCTTTTAAGAACTATCCATATGGGATCAAGTTAACAGCAACTCAAAGAATTGATAGCAACCTTAGAGGGCAGTCAGTTTATAATAATGAGAGAGGAACAATTCAGATAAGGAAGGTGAGAATGGCTGCACAACTTTTAAGAAAGTAATCGGTGTCAATGAATTGTACATGTAGAAAGTTGAATTTGTGTACATTTTGCTGTTTGTACTCTCAACAACAGCAATGCTAAAATAAAATTTTAAATAATTTTTTTTAAAAAAGGAAGGATGAGTTTTATAGAAGCTCTGAGATAGGAGAATTTAAAGTTGTTGTTAGGTGCTATCAAGTCCTTATCTACTCATAGTGACCCTATGCAAAACAGAACAAAACTCTGTTTGGTCCTGTGAGATCCTCATAATTGTTATGCTTGAGCCCATTGTTGATGCCACTGTGTCCATCCATCTTGTGTGTGTGTGTGTGGTCTTACTCTTTTTCACTAAACTTCCACTTTACCAAGCATGATGTCCTTCTCTGGAGACAGATTCCTCCTGATAACGTATCCAAAGTATGAGAGATGAAATCTTGAAATCCTGGCCTTATGGAGCATTCTGGCTGTACTTCTTCCAACGTAGATTTGTTTGACCTTCTAGAAATCCATGGTACTCCTAATATTCTCTAACACCATAACTCAAATGCACCAATTCTTCCACAGTCTTCTTTATTCATTGTCCAACTTTCACATGCAAATGAAGCTACTGAAAATACCCTGGCTTGGGTCAGGTGCACAACAGTCCTCAAACTGATCTTTTCACTCTTGAACACTTTAAAGAGGTCTTGTGGAGCAGATTTGCCCAGTGCAATATGTTGTTTAATTTCTTGACTGCAGCTTCTGTAATTGTTGATAGTGGATCTAAGCAAAATGAAGTCTATGACAACTTTAATCTTTTCTCCATTTACTATGATGTTATTTACTGGCCCAGTTATAAGGATTTTGTGTTCTTTACATTCAAGTGGAATCCATACCGAAGTCTTTGGTCTTCATCAGTAAATATTTTAAGTCCTCTTCATTTCCAGAAAGTAAGGTGGTGTCATATGCATATCACAGGTTATTAATGAGTCTTCCTCCAACTCTGATGCTACATTCTTCTTCATGTAATCCAGCTTCTTATATTATTTGATCAGCATGCAGATTTTATAAGTAGTGTGAAAGAATACAACACTGATGCTGATTTACAACACCTTTCCTGATTTTAAACCCTTAAGTATCCAATTGTTCTGTTCTAATGACTGGCTCTTTATTTATGTACAAGTTCTTCATGAGCACAATTAAGAATGTTGATTCTTTGTAATTTTATCCAAAGTTTGAATTGCCAACATGGTGGTTAGCAGTTCAGTGCCTTTCTTATTGCACCATACTAGGACTCCTTATGAACTATTGTTGTTAAGTGCCATTAAGTCAGTTCCAACCTATAGTGACACTGTATTGGGTTTCCGAGGAGTGGCTGGTAGTCCTATGCATTATCCTATATTGTTGTTGTTAAGTGCAGTTGAGTCATTTGTGACTCTGTATAGGATTCCTGAGAAGCAGTGCCACACCATATAATGGTTCCAATTCATACCGACCCTATATAGGGTTTCCAAAGAGCAGCTGGTATGTTTGAACCAACAACCTTGTGTATATATATATCACTTTGTATATATAAATTACAAGTCTAAGAAATCAAAATGTCACCTATGTCTTCTATATCAGTCTTGCACTTAGCATATCTTACAAATTCATTTAGTTCCTCTTAAAATGAATTGGTTATAGTTGTTTGAGCTGGCTCCCACTTATCCTTACAGTTTCTGAACTTAGTCACATTTAATCTTTTAAAAGACTATTTCTCTACTATACATGAATTCAGTGGAGAATGGAACACAGCTCAACAGTGTTCATACTGAAAGCTTTCCTTTCATTAGTTTTTCTATTTGATCTTAAGTGTAATTTCCAAGCATTCATAATACTAAAACCTGTATTTTTCATTTTTAAAGAATGACTTGAACCAAATTATATGATAGTTTATTTATTTCTCAACTACTTTGAATATTTGCTCTTCTGGACTTAGGTCCTTCAGTATGATTATATATGTGGAATCAGATGGACAACACATGACTTAACAATCAGCCGACTTGTTGTTGTTGTTAGGTACCGTCGAGTCAATATCGACTCATAGTGACCCTGTGCACAACAGAATGAAACACTACCCGATCCTGGGCCAACCTCACTATCATTGCCACACTTGAGCTCATTGATGCTGCCACTTTGCCAATCCATCTTGCTGGGGGGGGTGGGGTTCCTCTTTTTTCTGACCCTCCACTGTTCCAAACATGATATCTTTCTCCAGCAACTGGTCCCTCCTGACAATATGCCCGAAGTAGAAGAGACAAAGTTTGGCCATCCTGGCCTCCAAGGAGCACTCTGGCTGTACTTCTTCTAACACAGATCTGTTGGTTCTTTTAGCAGCCCATGGCACTTTCAATATTCTCCTCCAACACCATAACTCAAAAGCATCAGGTATCTATTTGTATGAGTGCAATAGAAAGATACGTTTTATGGACTTGCTGATACCCATTTTATCTAAATTGGCTGAATCATATACTAATAACTGGGCCCTCATTTTTCATGCCTTCAATTTTTTTTTTTTTTTTTTGCTTTTGTGTTCATTTTATCATTGCCTCTTCTATCTCTCTACTTCAGAATTGCTTTGTATCTTCATTTTTATCAGCAATCATCTAATGAGTAGATACTATGTGTATGATATCCTATTAGGTTTTAGTCATCCAGAAGAAATTCTACATAGTTGGGAAATAAATTATCATACAATCTGGTTCAAGTAATTTTTAATGTTGTTGTGTGCCTTTAAATTGATTCTGGTTCATAACAACCCTATATAACAGAATAGAGCTTGTCCACAGGATTGCCTACAATGTAATCTTTATGAAAGCAGATTAAGAGGTTTTCTTCCCCCACTTCATGAAACTACTAGGGTATTTGAACTTCGGATCTTCTGGTTAGTAGCTGAGCAATTAACCACTGTATCAGCAGGGCTTGCTTACTTGCTTTATATATTTTTCTATCATCTATCTGTCTATTTATAATTTATTTATCGATTCTATCTATCTTTGGACATAGTTGGAGGTCTCTTCTTAGTGGAAAGATGTATCCACAAAAATATTCACGTAACATATATTTGTTTGAAACATTTGAAATGATCATTTTTGTTGGGCCAAATTAACCAAATATTAGCAGTTTCATGTGATCTCACGTAATATAAAGACATATTATGTTTTCATAATATAAGAACTCTGTTTAGCACTTTATCAGTGTCCCATGAATATCTTTGAATTAATTAATATTTAGATATACATGTAAGTAAAATGAAAGGTGCATGAGGGGGGAAATGTGGCTGAAGATATAAATGGAGGATCTTAGCTTATAAGTAATTTTAGGCAGATAATTTGATAATATATAAGCAATAGGGAATTATATAATAATTTAATATGATGATTTATGCTTTAGAAATATGATTATAAGCTAAAGTTGGATAGTTTAGCATGTA